CCACAGATGACGAACAAACTACGGATAGTCAAGGGAAAGTCGAGCCAGGCTGTTCGCACCTTGTTTTTACGATGTTTCGTGTCGTTGCTGACTAATATATATGTCTTCACAGTTTGGCAATGGCAGTATTCCGTCGTGAAAGACTATATGGCACCCATCCTGGAAGACGCCATTGCGGTGAAACCCTCCAGCTACGAATTCGTCCTGGAGTTTGATCGCAAAATTCGGCAAATGACCGTACCCGAGAGTGTCAGTTTTGTTCCATCTTCAGAACAGGATGGTTACGAGAGGCCTGCCATATGGTTCAAAGTCTGCCGCGTTATGCAGTGCAGATTGTCCCGTTGAGTGTCTTGGCTAGTACTCATGCTTATGTGTGGTGTTAATTTCCGCTTTCACTCAGCCCTGCTCTTCGTTCATCGTCCCTTCTTCGCTAAGGTACAATCATATCCGTATTCCTGTGTGTGTCATGCTTAACCGGATTAGGCTCTGATGGATTATGGCAATGATCCTATGCGTAGCCCATACGCCCCGTCTTACCTTGCCTCATACCGCTGTGCTGTCCTCCTCATAAAATCTCATGTTCAATACTTCCAACGCTGCCCGGACTTATTCTTGAGACTCGGAGGCTTCTGGACATACGTCTTCACTGCCGCGGTACGCACGCGTCTACTCTCACTTGTCGCGGCTCCATGCATCGTACTCATAACCCAACCACAGGTCGTACTCGGTCTGATTGTTACTAGGTCTCCGGGTTCCACTACAGCAACGAACGCCCTGGCATTGCTGGATCTGGCGCTCGACCTCTTTGAGAAGGGCGCTGTGGTGAATGCTCGCGCCCAGCGGGCAATAGTGCGCTCTCCCATTCGTCTTCCGTGGCAAAGCCTTTCTGACGTTTCTCTAGACATTTCTCCGTGCTCTCAAAGGCAAAGCGCATAAAGCCGACTCTGATGCCCGACAAGGTACAGATGTGCAAAGGCCCAATAGCCCTCCTGCCAGCGATGGTCCGGATGAGTTGGCACTCTTCGGCGGACAAACAAAGCTCCTGAATACCAAGGTCCTCACAAAGTACTGGGCTCAAGGGGTCCGCTTGAAGAGCTCGTCGAACGGTCGACCCATATCTGACGGACGGTCTGAACGATTATCCGATGGTCACACCACTTCGGAAGGGGACACTGGGATCACTTCTCAGCTAGATGCGTACGGCCAGACTGCACACGCTCTGTATTACGGCCAGAGTTATCTGGATGCCCCAAGGCCTGGCGAAGACCCGGTGTCTGCAATGAACGACAGTCTTGCCTTCTGGAATGGTCAAGCATTCCAGGCGCAGTTCCTTGAATTCCCTCAAGACATGTCTTTTCTGGATAGCTGCTCGTCCCCTATGGACGGCGTGCAGCAACCTGACCATGTGGCCAGTTCCGACCTGGCGGCAACTGTGTATTCACAGATGCAGGGCAATGGCACTCCGACACCATCTCAGGTCCAAGGCGATACAGTCAACGGGGAACAAGCTGGAAGTCTAGCAGTTCATGCCTTATTGGGGCAGATCCCGCCGCAAGCGGAACGTGTAGACATGGACATGGATGAACAGTGGATAGATATGATGCGAGGTGCAGGACTTCTTGACATGTACGACGTACAGCAGTGAACTGGAGGTTCAACATAATACTCATCTGCCAGTGCGGACGAGACGCATCACTCGCAGACGATTTATGAAGCGGCTCTAGATCTCTCGAAGTCGGGACGAGCACTTATGTTATACTCGTACATCTCCTACATGCATGCGCCGACGACCACAAAACCCCGCGTAAATGGAGAAAGCCACGTCGAAGCCCGGATATGCATCCGCCAAGAAGGGCCAAAAGAGATCATGCTTCCACTTGACTACGGTTTAAATATTCTCAAGAGCCGGGCTTCCGTCACAATTCTAGTCCTGCACAGCGGACATTCGCGCGTAGTAGACATAACATGATCCGCACAGGACCTGCACATTGCCAAATGTCTGGAGAAATCATAGTCAGTCGAAAGGATACAAAGATAACCGCATGAATACGTACCCGCAGTCGACAATAGCAATGTTGGCTTCTTCATCTTGACATATCACGCATAGCCCGGTTCGTTCTAGCGTAGCAGCCATGGCCTGCGCCTTGGGCGGCAGCGGCTTCGGTTGCTCTTTGGCCTTCTCAAAGTCATCCTTCATTTCTGCATCCTCGTCCTTCTTGGGTTCGCTCTCCGCTGGCGTCTCCTGAGAGGGGCGCGCCTCGCGGTCGCGCTCTTCCCTTTCGCGTTTTTCCCTTTCGCGTTTCTCCCTCTCTTCTCCCTCTCTCTGCTCCTTGGCTCTCAGCTCTTCCCTCATGGCGCTCTGACGCGCTTGGTATTCCTCTTCTTCGCGCCGCTCTTCTTCTCGCTTGCGTTCACGTTCGCGCTTCTCGTCTTCTATTAGTGTCATGACCTGTAGCAAACCATAGCCAGACCCATCAGCATAATCACAGACCCACGACAACACGATTTAGCACGAGTGATACCCACCTTCGAGACAAGCTCCGCCTTCTCCAGCACCTGCCTCGCAGGCACATGGTTGTGGAACAACACGTCCTTCAACACATGCACGCTCATCTTCGAGATATCATCCTCGGTCATATTTAGCAATTCGTCTAGACTAGGTATCCGCTCCCGTTCGGGTGCAGTGGTAGATGCAGGCCTCGGTGGAGGCTGAGCGGACTGTGTACGAGGGATGTGTGGCTGGGAGGCCGTCGCAGGGGTCTGAGCGTAGGGGTAGTTAGGTGCAGGCTGGGGCGGTGGACCGTACGGGTATGGTGGGTATCCATAGCCATAAGGGTTTGGCGGTGGCGGGTATGCGTATGGGTACGGGCCCGGCTGTGGGTATGCGTATTGACCGTATGGATACTGTGGGTGGTACTGTGGCTGAGACCGCCGTTGTTGTTGTTGTTGTTGTGGCTGTTGCTGCGGCCGTGCGCGTTGCTGCTGCTGTCTCTGATAATTCGGGTCTAAGTCTGGCCTGGGGAACTCAGGGTGGGACTGCGTGCGGGCGCGCTGTGGTTGGGTTCGTGACGATGGCGCTGGTCGAGGTTGAGACTGGGAGGAATCACCGAAGGTTCGGTTGAAGAAGTTACGGGCGGCGTTGGCGGCGGACGTCCCCGATGAGGATGAAGCCTTTGGATTAGGGACGGAGTACTTGCGATAGTAGTGTTCACTCTCTGGAGGAAGACACCCATTTGCACCCTGGTGTGGCGGATGTCAGCGCGCGCTAAGCGGGTACACAATAATGAGTATACGCTTACTCGGGCATTCACGATGACATCGATCAGGTCGTCCTTCTCGACTGCGCCTTTCGCCTTCAGGTTATAAGCATCAATATACTTCTTTAACTTGCCCATTGGAAGCGAGCGAAGCTTAGACTTCCCGGATGCAGTGACTGACGGATTAACAGCGTGAATATGTGATAGTCTGGCTGTGTCAAGGAACAGACGCACTCTGTAGAAGTTCTATACAGTATGCACAGACTGGCATCGTGTCATATCCCGTGTTAGCGCCACCTGCACTTCGAGGCATGAGGGCCTGGTAGTCCGAGCACGAATGACAGTACATATAGCCTGCGCGTCATTACAGTATTTCGAGCGGTAGAGTTCGTGATCGGCGACGTGGTTAGTGCACTTGGTACACTGAAGATCATTCAAGGACACTCACCACAGTGATTACACTTCCTCGACCTCGTGAATAGACCGAACTCCTTGCCACACTTCCTGCAATGAGACGAGTCCCCTTCGTTCGAATCCGGCGGCGGTCCGCTTAGAAGAGGCATGCCTTCCGCCATCTTTCGCTACTAGAACTGACAGTATTTCAGCCTCGGCAGCACGGAATAGTACAAGCTAGAGATGTGTATTGAAGCAATATAATGTTGTTGTATATTGTACGCGCCCGCAGGTGGCGGCTCCGAGTCCTACGGTAATTGTGGCTGTTGCTTTGTCATCGATCTGGAGAAGCATCTAGAATCGGACGAGATGAGATCTCGGTCATCGGCCCACGATCCGGCAGAGGCCCGGACCATATTCTCACGCCTTATTGCTATTATGCTTCGCGTAACGCAACGCGTCACGGCCATCAATTAATTAACGCGTCCGACGCGTTGTGTGCGCTTGTTTACTCTTCAGTGGCCCCCTCATCCGCCCAGTCCAGAGTCTGCGGCGCTCTGTCCCTCCACCTTCATCTCTACCGTGGCGCTAAACTCGACTTGCGCGAAGGAAATCACTCTATTCAACTCGTGATTGCTTACAGCGCAGTACTTGGCGGTGTTTATGTTCCAGGCGCCTTATTTTGGCGGCCAGCCGCCGCAGTTCCAGACTTCGGTGCCACATGTGCCGAATGCGGGTCCACGAAGGGACCTACAAAACAGCCGGCATATCCAGGTTGAAGGGCCAATCCCAGAGAATGGACCGCCTCTGGGTTTCCGCGACGAGGATGTCTACACGACCATCGAGAAACTCGTCCAAGCCTCTAACATCGCTCTATACACACCCCTCTCGGCCCATCATAACAAGACCATGGACCGCTTCAAGCAGGTACAATTTCACGTGGAAGGGCTGGGTCGGATGCTCGTATCATTTCGAGAAGAGGCGAACGATAGGACGGACGCGATCTTGAAGGCGATACAGCACTCAAACGAAATGCAGAATGCAAGGGTGGCCCTGCTAATAAATGAAATGTCGGCCCTTAGGAAAGATGTCGGAAGAAATTCATGTGATCCTTCTCGCTCACTCTCGGATAGAATGGCATCAATAGAGATGGACCTACAAGAATTATCGGAACGTATTCGAGATCCGGAGGCGCTTCGTAAGTACCTGCTCTACTTGCCACCTTGCTCATCTTCTCATTGCTCCCCCTCACAGGTTCATCGTATGAAGTCGGCGCTAGCCCCCGTGCTCCCGAAAGTGAACTTCCTGAGAAGGCAGATGGTGCTTGCCCAACGCATACGTCGTCAGCACCATCCGTGCCAGGGACAGTGGATATTCAGCAGTCACTCCTCATCCCCGAGTCACCCTCTCGAATAGACGATAATAGGATCTTAGACGAGGTCGACGGTCTCAAACTCCAGTCCTTTGGGGAAGAGCCAAGTATGTATGATTTTCAGTTCCGCCAAGTATCCCCTTCCTTTTTTGCTTATGAGATTTGGGCAGTCTTCCGTAAGGAGGTGTTAAACCCGGCACACCTCCGGGCACGCTTTGGTCCTCAGCCGCTCTCCCCGAGCCCATCGCCGCTTGCCCCTGTCGGTTGGTCTGGGGATGACAGTAATAGCGCGAGTATCGCAGGTCTGTCGTTCATCTGGCTTCAAATGTCGTATCTGATACGGTACCCTTTTATTCCGGACAGGCACTCCTCTGTCGATCACACAAGACATCGCTGTTGAAGACGGCACGGTGGCAGCTCTACGCCGAGCGATCTTAGGAGGAAAAGGCGCAGTAGCTTCGGAATTGACGTACCAACCTGCAAAATGCTCTACACCATTTCCCAACCAGGTCATTCCAGAGCTGCCATCTCCGCCAATTACGCATGTCACGCCATTCGACGAGGAACCCGCGGGCCCATCCAGGATAGCAACGTCGTCTTATCCGCCTGCTCCTGAAGACCGCGGCATCTCTCCCGCAAGTAGCCTTTCTGCTCTATCGTCCTTGACGAGTCTCTCTGAATCGGAGGGCGAAGATGAAGTGGCTGAAGGCGCCACGAGCGCCGTTCGTCCTGCACATAACCAGCCTGCTCCTAAAAAGCGCGGACGGCCGCGGAAGCATCGCGACGTGCAGCCGAATTCGGACGGTAAACCGAAAACGTTGGGACGCCCGCGCAAAATACGAGATGGAGACGGGAACCCTGGTGACAAGAAACGGGGCAGGAAACGGAGAGACAGCAATGGAGAAGCGCTGCTCCCTCTCAAGCGGCGGAAGCACGTCGATCCCGCGAAGGCGCCTGTGATGACTAAGGAGCGATTGCATGGAGCCAAGAATCAGGTGTGGCCTCCGGTTGTAAGCGACGACGACGACTTTCAGCGAAAGGTGGGTACGCTGCTGGCGCTATGAAACAGTACCGCTCATCCGTGCACTTCCAGTTTATCCAATGTGACAAGTGCGTATGGAGGGGTCCGACTGAAAGACTGCTGCTAATGCCGCTTCGACCACTAGCTGTGATGTATCGTATCATTATGGCTGCGTCGGGATAAGGGAAGGTGACCCCCGCTTGGATCCCGCGGAGATCTTCCTGTGCCCGCCTTGTGCAAGCGTATCCGAGTGAGTGGTGTATCTATTTCCCTCCTGCTTGGTCGCTGAAGCAGCTCCGTTATTCAGGGGACAACGTAAGTGCTGGAAACCTGCAGAATGAAGCAAGGACCTTTAATGACCTCTATCCCAGGAGCCTGGCGGAGAGGCGCCTGCGACGAGCAGTTGGAGCGCCACTGCGGGCGGAAAGACTGCGGCCAGGTCCTCGACGACGACGAGTTCTTCGTCGAGCGGATTATCGGCAGGAGGTGGAGACTCGAGGGCGGCGGGCACCTCTGGTTGGTCAAATGGGATGGGTACGCTACTGTTTCATTCTCCAGTCGAAGTGGTGATTGATTAGACTCCTACAATACGAAGATACCCGGTGAAAGAAGCGCAGTGGCTGACAGAGGAGGATATTGGGGGCTTGGAGAAGCTCGTAGAGGAGTTCGAGGCCGCGGCTCATCTACGGGAGCTCGCAATTAGTGGAGAAGAGACCGTTTTGCTGAAGGAGGCGGTTGATGGTGGATGGACGCCGTGAATGGCGTACTGGTCGTCCTCAGTCCCTGACTCCCTAGCGTCTGCCAAATCCGTTGCTCTTCCTCGTCTCTATCTTGATCGGCAGCCACCCTAAGATTTATACTACGCGCTTATATCCTTAGTATCTTTCTACTGCCCATATATTGGTCACTTATATGTATGCTTATGCTTGTGCAGTAAACAGAATAGTACAACTTATGCCCCTATCCAACATATGCTCTGTATGCTCTTGTCATATCCAGCGGACTTCAGCATGGCGCACTATGCTGTCTTGGACAATCTATGTGCTCAAGCAGACTCGTCTTGCAATACAGCCACTATTTTGCATTGCTGGGAGTGATTGCAGCGTATAATACCCTATTATCATGAATGCCCAGGTATCCGGGTATCAGTGAAGCCGCGATATTTGCAGGAAAAAAAAACATGATAGCGAGCTTATATAGCGCGAGCCACTTGTACTTAACTGCCCAGGTTCCAGTCCTCGTTGATATCTCGTTCGCCCCCCTGCTCCTTCAACCACATACTTTTCCAAAGCCGACGGTCCTTATTTGGCGGTCCCTTCAGCACCTTGCACTTTATCCTTCCCGCTTCCTCGTTCCATTGCATCAAAACTTTGTACGCCTTATCAGTCAGCATGGAATCGGCGCCGGGCGGCACTTGCGCGATGTACTTCTCCACACTCGGCGGAAGAGGCAGGACCCAGGAGCTAGCAGGTTCGTATCCGAGAACCACTGCGAGGAAACTAGGGAAGGATGACAGGCCCATCGCGCAGCCGGAAATGCGGATGCACTTGACAGTTTTGCTGGACGGGATGGAGAACAGCTGGCACAGAGGTCTGTGAACGTCCTCGAGGTGCACCTCCGTCGTAAGGCACCAGTGCACATGTGTTAGGTTTGGGAATAGCTGGGGGCGGTCCTTAGGAATGTCCAGGTTGTAGCTTTGAGTTGTGGGGGTGGCCAGTTTCAGGTGCGTCAGGCGCGGGAAGGATACCTCCTTCAAGACGTCGATGGCTATCTCGCCCTGTGGCCTGTTGTCTGTGACAAACACGAGACTCTCAACGGTGGGAGAAATGGTTTCGAGTACGTCTAACACTGTTACAAGCCAGGTTAGCTATCATCCGAAGTTGACGCTATTCGTCAGGAGACGTACGCAAATCGAACAGTCCAGTGCGGGCTGTAGATGGCCATATAAAGACGTGTCGGAGATTCGCCCTGGCAGCCTCAGAGGAAGACTCGAATGAACGGAGAAATGCCTTCATCCGAGGGGGTCCGGAGAGTGCTACGCTCTGGAATTTGTAAGGTTCTGTAATTGCCTTCAGAGTTCTGGATACGAGCTGCAGCGACCGCGCGGTCGTCCCTCCGTCGCAGCATGCATACGAGGCAATAAAGTCTAGCAATTCATTGGGAACTTTGGCAGCCTGCATCTGAATATGAGAGAACTCCCCTGCGCTTCAGCTGCTGTTCCGTCGATCGTAAATTGACACAGGAAGTGATGGCTAGATGTACATACAACGGTGGCGGTGCTTGTTATTACAATACGGTACGTGTATTGCGGAAATTGCCGAGTCTTGTGCACACTGCACTAGCAGCCTGCAAAGCGCCTTGCGCCGGAACCTGCTCCTTACGATCACTATGCCCCCCTTGCCCAGCACGATAAGCAAAGAGGCTCAAGTTTTAATAGAGTCTATTGAACGGCGCAAGAAAGATGTGCAGGACTTCCAGATACCCCGCCTGCAGGAATGCAAAGGGCCGCTGGCTGTGCAGCAAGGGTACACTTCGAGTCTGAGGGAAGATATAGACTTTCTAGGGCGGCAAGTGCAGGTCAGAAAAGCCTATTCATGTCTGCGATGAGATATTGTCGACCTCAAATTCCTGCGCAGGAGCTGGAACTGATGGTGGATGAGCAAAGGAGCGAGAGGGATCGTAGGGAACTTGGACAATCCGTGCAGGGTTATAAGGACGAGATGGCGAGGTGTGTCACGGTGTATACTATCTTGGTACTCGTAGTCGATAGCATATCTTCCGCTTTTCAGGATACGCAAGTCGGTCAGGGCTGCTGTACTTGTCTCCAAACGAGCCGTAGACTCGCAGAGCGTATCTGCCCGAGAGGAACTCCTGCGAACATCTGCTTCATCAAGTACCACGAATGCGAAAAGCGAGAAGGGGAGGTGAGTACGAACCAATTCCACCTCTTGTGTCATTCACTGAACTCGTGCTAGCGATGATGCTCTCATGAGAGCAAACGCCGACGTCACAAACGCGCTCAGACGGACAATTGGGCTGATGCAAACCGAACTCGAACGGTCCGTCCTATCCACGCAGATGCTCGGTTTGTACTTTGCACTTCTGTGCCCAGCACCGGTTGACAATTTTCCCGCTCTAAGAACAATCCTCCGCCACACTGCGCTCCACCTCCTCCGCGTATGACAGCCTCAACCTCGTTCTGAGCACATCCAAGCAGCTCGTGACCGCTCTCGAAAAGTCTGACTGGATCGACCGGCTCCTCATCATCTCCGCGGTGGTCTTCTTCTTCCTCGTCGTCGCCCTGATCCTCAAGCAGCGGATCGTCGACCGGAGCCTGCGGATTGCCTTCTTTTGGACGCGGTTCATCCCTAGCATGGGTTTGGGCAAGCATGGGGACCTCGAAGCTGCTGTTGTACTGACTACAACAACCCTAGCTACGCTTTCTAGTACGGTGGCTACGGCGTCTACGTCACTGTCCTCGCTTCGATCGAAGCCATCTGCGTTCGAGGATTTGTCGACAGAAGCCATTCCTCCAGAAGAAATCTCGGTCTCGACGACTTACATTCCACCAGATCCTAGTAGCTCGTCGGGGACTATCAGTCCAGCGGTAGAGTCTGATCCGAGCGTCCACGACGAACTATAACTGTATATACTCTGACCTACATCATATATCTTATCCTCAGAATGCTTCTCTGCACCGGTACCAATTCAATATGGTTCAGATATGCTACTAGTCCTGTTCCCAGTGTTCAGCAATGTCGATGTGTGGTAGGCGGTAACAGCTCCTCCTTGTCCCGTTCACCGCTCCTAATCTAGCTCGACCGTTATGACGCAAGTGAAAGGCCCGCAGTACATGTACCTCGCCCTTTGCCAGCGATTTGGCAGGCGACGTTAGGATTCTCCCGCCATCTACACCAGAGTCCTCTCAGGCTAATGTGGGATTCCGAGAGCTCCATCTCGACCGATATTACGACACGTACGGGCGGGATTTCCTACTGCTACAATGTTAAGAGGATACAAAACAACAGGGGAGTAAGGGTAAACGAGTCCATCATCTGGTCCGGTATACAAAACTGAGCTGGGTACAACTTCAGTCCACGAAAGCTTACACGGGAAAAGTATAGCGCAATGTCCCAAAATTGTCCGGAAATACAAAACAATAATGCAATGCTCCCCTGGGTATATAGTACTGGATACTGTAAACCCACGGTGAGCAAACACGACAATGCAAAACAGGCGACACATTGCGACTCACCAAATATGAACACAACAATAGAAACAATGGAAATAGAACAATTCATGCTGCACGTCCTGCACTGCCCAGCCCGCTGATCAACTCAGGCTTGACATTCCCTGCCTCATCAGTGAGGTAGTCCGCGTACTGAGATGCCCAGCTACTAATCTCCGGGGGGATACCCGAAGACCCTAGCGGCTGATACGCATGCGTGGCGAGGGCGACCGAGGAGAGCGTACGAGGGGCTTCCGCCGCGTTGGACTGGAAGTTGCTCTTGCTGTCGTCGCCTTTCTGCTGAGGTTTGGGCGTCCCGGAAGCTGGGACCTGAGGTATCTCAGCGGCCCTGTTTCCTTCGGACTTGGTCTGACGTGTGGACTTGCGTTCCTCTGGGGCCTGACGAGGCATGGATTTCGGCTCCTGCTTCGCGGCCCTTTGACGAGGCTTTCTGGCGTCATTCTTCGGCTGACCCTTAGCTTTCTCAGAGTCGTTGGCCGGGGGCTTCTTGGGAAGCTGGTCGGTGGAAGCAGTGCCCCCGGTGGACTTTCCGGTGTTTGAACTGCCAGAATAATCGCCAGCGGGTTGCGACGCCGAGCCGAGTACAGAAGCAGGCTTGCCAGCACTGAGAGAACCGGACTTCCCGTTACTAGCCTTAGATGAATCGCCAGTCTTCGGTTTCGCCCAGCGCCTAGAAGACTTGTTCCTCCGGAAAGACGGTCGCGGTGCATCATTGCTGTCGGCCGGACCAGAGCCCTTTGTAGAGTGAAGCGGGGGACCTTCAGCCGAATCGCCCCGATGCGCCCACATGGAATCCTTCGAGCTCCGTCCAGGCGTAGGGCTGAGCAGTATGAAGCTACTATGACGCGGTGCGGACTGCGACGCGGTCAAGCTAGGGCGCTTCAAGGGTTCCCCCTGCGGTTCTCCAGCGCCGTCGCCTGCGCGGATTGAGTCGTTGCGCCCAGACTCAGCTGGTACTGCTAACGAGTTGACAGGTTCCGCGGTGCCAGCTGGACCAGAACACTCCAAAGAGTTATCTGGGTTATCATCAGCCCGATCGCCTGCCCAGATCGAGTCATTCAGACTGCGTCCCGACTCGGTTGACAGTTGTATAAAGTGATCTGACTCGGCGGTGTCAGTGGCACCCGGGTACTTGAATGTCTCTTCTTCGACATTGTCAGTACAGTCGCCTGCCCAGATAGAATCGTTTAGGCTGCGAGCATATCCAGTTGGTAGTTGTATGGGATCGTCAGGTTCCGCATCGCGAGAGGTAACAGCCCACAGAGGATGCTCATCACTTCTGACAGAGATGTTGGCCAATTCGGGGGTTACAGTCACGTCTGAGTCATATTCGGAAGCATCGTCGACAGCAGACGTAGACTGAGGCTCCTCAGTTGGCATACGAGAATCTTCGGCAGTAATTCCCTCAGAAGCCGAGATAAGACCAGGTCCATACGAGGTATTATCCTCTTCTGCTTCATTTTCAGACAGAAAGTCGTCCTCGTCCGGGGAGCTGCGGAACGCCGTACGTACTATATAGTGTGTGGTCAAGCACCAGACATGACAGAATCGTAAGTGATGGACATACGAGAGAAATAAAGAGAACTCGTCACGATGAAAGAAGCAGCACCGTTGAGAGCGAATCCTTCCCAATTCTCCGACGGAATGCCAAGGATACCTCCGAGAGCACTCCCAGACAACTCGGGATTTTCAGGGTCGGGTGAACCGAACGGTGCAGGGCAGACGCCAACGCCAGAAAAGACCGATTGCGGGTCGAAGGGTACCGTCGCAGAGTCACTATCAGCAGAAACGCGAGCGTCAGAGCTGGTCCCTTCTTCCAGTTGTCGATAGGTGCTCTCTCGAGCTGTGTTTTCTAGACTAGCGGCGATTCGATGCTTGGCTGCGAAGTATTTGGACATGATGTACCAGCGCATCCACTCCCGCCATTTATCGTAGGAGCTGCCTACGAAGATGTAGCCTTCCTCTTCGTCTTTGGGGCCATCGAATGAGTAGTTTTCGTCTTGGGCATTTTCACGTTCGGTATCGTCAGAAATTGTAGACTGCAGAACGGAAGCAGTCTCCACGGCAGGGAAGAATGTCGGTTCGGGCTCGTCGACTTCAGCAGAAGAGACGACAGAGGAGACCTCCGGCACATAGTTACTAGATGTAGGAGTAGACGGGGGCTCCCTACGATTCCTTTGGTGCTTTACCTGCGACAAGACTACCGCATCGGCGGGGCCCTGGAATGTTTCGTATGCAACGTACAGACCAGAGGTGGCGACAGTAGTCAGATAGATGGATTCACCCAGTCCTAGCGGTAGCCATGACCGGATGTTGAGGCCAGCTTGCCGTGCGACATCCGATACGGACGCCACGGCCCCGATCAACAACAAAACAAGCTCGACGATGAGCATCCTGGGTGCCCTTAGACTTCACGCTATACAGGCAATGTGCAGATTGGATGGATGCGCTTTGGTACAAGAAGATGTCACGGACAGTATCAAAGGGTGTCGCAGGAAGACGGTGTGTCGCAGACTGTAGGGGATGGTGGTGGTAAGATGGTAAGATGAAGAGGGCCGCCACATGAAGGTCCAAGCGCTTGTTTAAGTCTCCCCAGACAGATCTAGCCATATGAGGCAGTACCTTTTCCAAAGTGAGACACTGAGGCGGTGATTTCGCCCGGGCCATAAGCTTCATAAATCCAGCGAGTATCTGTGCACGAAGCCATAAACAGTATAGACACATATTATAGACACATACGAAAGGTTGGGTTAATGCGACCTGCTCGTGCCTGCGTCAGCAAAAGAAATCACGCTCGAAGAGCACATCAAAATGCAGTCCCCACCGTGATTTGAACACGGGACCCTGCGATCTGCAATCGCATGCTATAACCACTTAGCTATGGAGACTTAAAGGTGCACGCAAATTAAGAACCTATAATAAGCCATTGCATCGAATACGTCCTCTCTTGAAAGACGCGTCACGGCTCACGGTTATACGCGCGTCCTCATCTTAGACTTGTACATTGCGCGATCGTCCGGCTCTCCCTATCTCGCGTTTGCGTCCAATCTGCCCACCATGACCGACGTTGAAATGAAGACAGAAGACAAGGCTCAGGACAAAGCACAGGACAAGACCAAGGAAGAGCCCAAGCCAGTCCCAGTGTCGCCTGCTGCAGAAATCAAGTCCAATGTTGCCCTCATTGAGCGTGCTGTGGCCACCCTCGAGCCAAGGTTCACTATGCGCGTCCTGAGGACGTTGACCTCTCTCAGGAAACGCTTGAATGATGCAGTCCTTCGAGAGGCGGTGGAAGAGGTGTACCCCAAAGGTTCGTCACTGCGTATTGACAGGCGTATAGTATGTATGCTCAGACGTTCGTGTTAGATTCATCCATCAAGAAGTCTCTACTGTCGTGGCTACCAGCTGCCACGTCTGCGGACCACTCCATGGACATCGACGGCGCGCCTGCTTCGAGCAAACCTACGTCTGACCCTGTACCCGAAGTCGAGATATACCTCCGCCTTCTCATCCTTCACCACTTTTTGTCGTCCCAGAGCACCTACGGCAAGGCTATGGAGCTCGCACAAGATACGGTCGCCAAGATGCAGGCGCTGAACAGGCGGAGCATGGACCCCATCGGCGCCAAGGTGTGGTACGCTGTGGAGCGTACGTATGAACTGGCCGGGGAGTTGGCCGATGCCAGACCGTAAGTCGTGCCAGTAATGTCGTGTATGGTGCCGTACTAAGTCTACCCAGAATGTTCCTCGCCGCACAGCGCACGTCTTCACTCAGACATGATGACGAGACACAAGCATCTCTCATCAACCGCCTCCTCCGCAGCTATCTCCAATACAGCTTGTACGACCAAGCAGACAAGCTCGTGTCAAAAACCACTTTCCCCGCCTCAGCTTCAAACTCGCAGTTCGCGCGGTACCACTACTACCTGGGGCGTATCAAGGTCGTCCAGCTGAACTACACTGCCGCTCACACAAACCTGCAGCAAGCGATCAGACGCGCTCCTCCCGCAAAAGTTGCGCCGGGGTTCTACCAGGCGGTGCACAAGCTGTCTGTGGTGGTTGAACTTCTCATGGGCGATATCCCAGAGCGCAGCTTGTTTAGACACCCAGTACTGGAGAAAGCGCTGAGCGCGTACTATGACATCGTAACCGCAGTGCGGACCGGCTCACTCTCGCAGTTCCAAACAACCCTCTCGAAGCATGCCGCCTTATTCGAGGCGGACAAAACCTACACGCTCATCGGGCGGTTACGGCAGAACGTCATCAAGACGGGGATCCGGAGACTCTCCCTTTCGTACTCGCGCATCTCTCTGCGGGATATCTGCGTAAAGCTGCATCTCGACTCGGAAGAGGACGCGGAGTACATCGTTGGGAAGGCCATTCGGGATGGTGTTATTGATGGACGGATCGTGCATGAGAAGGGATGGATGGAGTGTGGCGGGCAGAAGGGTGGATATGGACCCGAGGTTGCTGAGGTGTTCCAAAGGAGAATAGGGTACTGCCTGGAATTGCACAACCAGAGCGTGAAGGTTCGTCCTACTCTTCATGCCCTGATAGATGTATCGCCATTTTCTAACTATCCTCTGTCAGGCAATGCGCTATCCTCTGAATGCGCACCGCAAGGAACTTGCAGCGGCGGAAGGTGCGCGGGAGCGGGAAAAGGAGCTGGCCAAGCAGGTACAAGAAGGCGGCGGGGACTTGGATGACGACGACAGTCCGTTGGGTGAAGGCTTCTAGTGCGCTAGCGGGCGCTATGTGTACTTGACATTGGGAATCTGAATGGACGCTGACCAGAAATGGATGGTGGAACTCTTATCTCTTCCTCTGAGCTTTTGAATGCCGTATGGAGCTTTCCCAGCATTCTGCCCTGGACGCTGCGTACTTTCTTCCTGGTAACTGGCGCGCGACCGCAACTTAGAAACGGTTGTAGAGGGCCCAAATATCATCTTGACGACATCGTTTCCCTGAGCGGCTTTTGGCAAAGCTTTGCGACTCGGTCATTTATTACGCAGAGTGGACTAGAGTTGTACAGAGCGACCCGATGCCGTCACATGTGCACAAGCACGTTCTTCTAGACGCCTCGAGGCAGGTTTAACTCTCGGGGTTTAAGCCAGCTCACCCAGAGCACGCGTCCACCACCTCACGGTGCCACTTCTGCGCATGCCATGTGCTTGACGCTCGGATTTGCTTCCTTTAAGAATCGTTAATGAGCCTCCTTTTGGTAAGAACGTACCGCCGTATATGATTGATGAGTTCGCACTGATGTAGAAGTTTGGTCGTTTGTGGCATCTTGTGGGCTCACTAGTGCCAGTTGATGTAGATATTTTCTGGGAACTTCGGGTGCGTAGGTTCGCTCCCTTCATCTGCGACCCCTCGTCCCTGCGATGGAGGCTAAGACACTCGCCAGCAAACGATCAGCGTCGCCGCTGGACGAGAAGCACCCTCTCGATGATGCGTCCGAGGAGGCTGTGAAAATCGACTCTCGGATCGACGTTGCAGCAGGGCTTGTTGCTGGACATGACAATGATCATATCAGTCCTGAGGAGTCCCGGAGGTTACGGGCCAAGATTGATTGGCACCTTCTCCCTCTGCTCTTCTTCATATACACGGGTATGCGTGTATCACTCGCACCTCAATTGAGAAATTGAGAATGTTAACTGATGTTAATGACTGCTGGTCCTACAGTCCAGTATATTGACAAGTAAGTCCGCGTATGATGCGTTTTATTTCCCCGTTTGCATTGTACTTGGTGTGAGAAGCTGATTGACCATGGCCTCTCAGAGGAACCCTCGCATCATCCTATGTACTCGGGATAGTGCAAGACAACCACTTGACAATAGATGAGTGGAATACGCTGGGAAGCGCTTTCTACATCGGTGCGAGAGTGTCGATATTATCTGCCGCTTCTATTCAATTGAATATATGCAGGCTATCTCGTGTTCGAGTACCCTCAGAACTGGGCACTGCAGCGTTTCCCGGCAGGTAAATGGATGGCTTTTAACATTCTCCTGTGGAGTGTCTTCCTTGGACTGTATTGTGTCTGCAGTAACTTTGGCGGCCTTTGTAAGTACTCAACCCTGACCTTCCTGTCGCCTGCCGCTGAATGTGATCGCTGCTTACAGTCGTACTACGCTTCTTACTGGGCGCATCAGAGGGCTGCATCACGGCTGGTGCGTCTCGTTATTACATTATTTATCAGGGTAATTGACGAGCACCGGGACCGGATTAAGGTCTCATGCTCGTTACGTCTATGTTCTATACGCGGACTGAAATCGCCGAACGTATCGGCTGGTACGCCACCCACCTCGTACAGAATGCATGTACTCTGACTCACTAACCATATCTTGTCATGCAGGACATTCCAATGTAACGGATTTGGCACGATCGTCTCCGGTTTCCTGTCCTTCGGCGTCGCACATATAAGCGCACAAGGCAAACCTGCCCAATGGCAATGGTTAATGATTATCACGACTATTTTGACTCTGATTGTTTTCGTTCTGTTCGTTCTGTTTTTCCCGGACAACCCAACTACCGCTAAGTTCCTCACCTCCGAGGAAAGGGTCAAAGCTGTTAAGCGGGTAGAAGGGAACAAGAACGGAATCGAGACTAAAGTGTGGAAGCGGAGCCAGTTCATGGAAGCTCTGACCGACACCAAGACATGGCTTTTCTTTTTGTTTGCCGCGGTGGCGTACGTAAGGTGCTTTCGACTCATCTGACTTTCGACTCAACCCGGGGTATGCAGGGACCTGCAAAACGGAATTGGCGTCCAGTATTCACGAGTAATCAAATCCTTCGGGTTTACGAATCTGCAGACCACCGTTCTGAATATCCCTTCCGGTCTGACGGTCAGTTCCCTTTCAGGTTCTCTCCGTAAGCTATGAGACATGTTCATCCTCGTATCGCTACAGCAAATCATGGGTATCACCCTGGGATGTTACCTGTTGCGAAAATTTCCCGTCAGTTACTCGAGTTCCAGTTGCAATGAAACATACGTTGACCATCTCCTCCAGAACTCGCGCGCCTGGATTAACATTGGATTCTGGATGCCATCGATCTTGGCTGCGCTGCTCCAGATATGCCTTCCCCTTAGTAATAAAGTTGGTGCTACGTTTAAGTTGCACTTTCATGGCTGAGCTAATAACCCATAGGCTGGTCATTTGGCCGGCCTGTATGTTTTCAGTTCAGTAACACAAATCGAGTCATATCATTTCTCCCTCTGAAATTGGATTTCTGACCAGATTTTGGGGGTGCGCCTGGTTTCATCATGATCCTGGTTTGGGTGACAGCCACTGTGTCTGGACATACCAAGGTAAAAAATCGAATACATAGTCGATAAGATACTAGGTTCACCCTCGCCTCAGAAATTGGCCACAAATAGCATTGTCCTTATTGGATACGCCCTTGGTCAAATACTATGCACTCAATTCTGGAAAGACCGGTATGCACCAAGATACATTGTGCCGTGGGCCATAACTCTGGTGAGTGACTCGCTATTCGCTATCGTATCTGATGTTGGTCGTAATCCTTTCGGCTATTAGGCAACACACTTCACCGACATAGCCATCGTCCTGGCCATCCGATACGTCTTAGTAGCAGAGAACAGGCGCCGCGATCGGCTGCTGGTTGAAGCGCAGGCGGCAGGGAATGTCCCGCCCGAGATGCAGGACTTCGGTTATGTGGTGAAGACGGATGAAAAAGGATATGCTGTCAAAGTCAAAGTTGACAAGTCCCTCCTCGACCTTACTGACAAGGAGAATCTAGCATTCAGATATGTCTTGTAGCCTGTTGTTTATGGATGCTTTCGCCATTTGGGAACCTTCAGGGCATGGGATCCTGATACAATCCAAGTTCTATTGCACGAAGGCCCGGCATACAACACTGGTCAGGCCCTACATGAGTCATGTTTTGTAGATTCTCTTTCACGAATGCCCTCCTCAGCTCATACCTCTCCTAGTGTAACGTTCGGGCGACGCCTTGCGACGCTACGAACGCACGAGAGAGGACTCAGATAGAACCGGTGTAAATATACTCGATTCCGAAAGAAAGTGCTCTACCCTAACTACGAAACATTGGGGGTTTATATATCCTAAGTACTACTGATAATCTATCGATTAAAGTGACTATATGGAAAGTGGTCTGCGGAAGGTCAAAGGGTAATCATTAACCCTTCGAACGTGAATGGTCCGGAACGCTCGGGTTGCTACACCTAGTCATGATAAAATGAAGACATGGTTGATACTACACTGCCACTGGGCTACTACCGTTATCTTGAACCACACCCGGCCGACGCGCCAGCATTCGCCTAAAGAACTGCCGTATCTTGCTTTCTTCACAACCATCCTGCTTCGGCCATATATGCTGTAATATTTTGTTCTTGACACTCACTGCCCAACCCGCCACTCGATCCAGTCCTGGATGATTGTCCCCATTCCAGTCGGTATGTAGGAACCATGCGACCAGGCCTAGAACGAATATCCAAGCAAGACCTATGGGAATGCGAGTGCCAAGGCTTGTCTCGCTGACCGTAGGATTGATCGAAAAGCATAAAGTGGACAATGCTAACAGAAATGTTACCATCCTCAAAGGAAGATGTTAATCAAGGAAAAGGCGATAAGAGACCGTCGAACTTACGCCCACATGAGCAACGCGTACGGTAAACTGTACATAATTGCAAGAGTCTCCAGACCCCGCGATGGATGACGTTTACTCCACATATACCTTTGCTATAATGCCAAGTCAGAATTACAGGCTCGATTCAAAGAACAACTGTACTTACAGCCACCTCTGCATCGTTCCGAGACATCACTCGATGGTGCCGATTGAGCAATAAGCCGAGAATGATGCTACCTGCGCTGGCAACTGTGGATAAGTAGATGGCTATCTGAGCCGCGCAACGAAAACTGGGCTTATTAAAGCCGACATCCACGCTTTGGATTGCCAGGAAGGAAACATCGACAGTCAGCATGACGGTTGTCTATAAAATAATGAGTTCTGACGCCGCATCACTTGGAGTAATCATGGACCCACAGTAAGGGACAGTTTCTCCCATCCCTCTTGAAGTTTGTCGATCGTCCTCCTCCAATGTACAGAATGACTAATCCTATCGGTCCAAATTTTCTCCAATTGCTGGAGCTGCATCCGTGGCTCGTTGAAAAGAAGAGGAGATAGGATTCGGAAGCCCCATGATCTATGATGGTCTTCTTTATCATAGATAGATTGGTCCAAGGCGAGACGGGCTGCTCGTTGCCCATGATAGTGAAGATACTTCTGGTGGACTGGTGGATGCCGCGTTATTGACGGAGGATGGCATGGATAGGCGAATAGATAGTTACCTAGAACGCTCATAATTCGGCCTACCAACGGCATTTACAATCAGCATCGCAGAAGGGAAAGATGTCGTTGCAGCTCACCGACGACACCGGCAGGACGACCCCCGCACATGCCCAGATCTGTAGCCACTTAGAGATATAACGAGTCACAGATAGGAAGGGCTGTACCTTTCAGGCCCTCCACTAATTTGATCATTTTCTGACCGTCTTCGTGTCCCCAGGGAAATGTAGAGTAACTAGCTGTTAGAGAATCTGCGTGAAAATTACATCAACCGAGGCTGTCAACACGATAGGGACGGACGAACCTATGGTCCCGTGAGTAAGTTCCGCAAGGACCTCGTTGTATATGTCCAGCGTGACTTTACGATGGCAAGGAAAAAGCTCCCAGTGAGCCCTGCATCAGTCATGCGGTCAGCGAGAAGAATACCTGAATGTTTGTCAATCCCAGTCCGCAGAGATAGTTCAACGCTGACTCACCGTCCAACATGCGGACTCTTTCACCAATACCGAGATTGCAGCTCGTGTCCTGGGAAGACTCCTTGGCATAGTACCTCAGAAATGTAATAAATTGCCTACTCAGATGCGAAGGCCATGTTTCACCCTCGATCTCTTCAAACATTGATTGGGTGGCCCAGGTTTCTTCCGCCCAGAACAAAGTTTTTTTTTCGAGATCGGCGAAGTAATAGCCGCAAGTTCCATCTTTGAGCAACTCCAAAACTAATTCGCTGGATGGATCCCATTCCATCATACTCTCGATAGCTGTTACAGAATTGCAGATTATCGGGCGTATCTCCTCATCGCAAAGATAAGCATCGGTGAATATTCTCTGTTGTGGTTTAGTCAGAAAATCAAGCAATATTGATGATACTGCTCACCTTCTTCTCATGCATGAAATACAATGCACCTTCGGGATGCTCACATGCCTTCCAGTCCTTTGGGACGTCGTACATCTCTTCGCTGGATGGGTGTGAGGGTAGAGCTGGGAGGAAATATAGTAGTGCCCACAGTTTATTGAATCGGTGGTCTCGTGGAATAGTGAAAGTGTAGTCTTCGGATCGTCTCTCACTCGCACACAAATGTCAGTTTTCTCCCTACTGTGCTAAGCGGCTATATCATACAGATGCACGTGTCGTTCATATCTTGCAATATTGGATGGGCAGATAGGCTTTGGCTTTGGATTAACGACGGTGTGGCTGCTTCCCGGGGCGGCGACCAGTCTCGTAGGGTCATTCGGCGGCGGGGAGATTTCACGGAGTTCCACTGCAGAGGCCGCGGGAGAGGGCATAACGCCTGGATTGGTAGGACTCGGGGGCTCTCTGCGGTAAGGTGAATTCGCGCGCGAGCGGACGGGAGTCCCGGATCGAGACCTCAGTCTGGCTCGAGTATCGCCACCTAGAGGCATGCCGCTGGCAGAACCCGGCGGTGAAGGTGGGCGAGAACTCGTTCGGGAAGGCGCTTTGGAGGCTTCTCGAGAATGGTAATGCGGGGTCAAATGGGAGGGAGATGAAGGCTCCAAATTTGGTGCATCGCGCAAGGCGAGTCGCACAGCTTCCCTGAGCTGCGAGAGGTCGTGCGTATCACTTACAAAAGGGAGCGGTTCCTCAGTGATGTTTGACAGGCAAGGGACTACGTCCTGAGTGATCCCAAATGGTTCGCCGGGCAAGTCTACGGATAAATAAAATGTCAGTGGAGAGACTCCGAAGCTCCGAAGAACGACAGACTAGAAGTCGGCTTGGTCACTGAAACATGGGGTACAGCGCTCCCGCATACAAAGCGAGATACTCCATCACAGTATATGCTATCAGGATGTGAAGGCTTTGTGACTGTGTAGGCTTGACCGATCTTGTCTCCTCCACCGCCCTCTGGCCCTTTCCGTCTCATACATACGGCACGCAAGTACCTAGCCCATCTAAAGAGCAAGCCAAACAAGAGGTGCCAAAAAGAGCGCGGGCATAACCTGCGGACGAAACGTGTAACGGCGAGGATAGCAGTTCGAGCCGTAAATGCCATGGTAATGTTCGCGATTAAACGTGGTGAGCGGTAAGCAGAACAGAGAGCAGAGCGTCGGGGGAAAGCGCTGTAGAGCGGCATAGCATTCCGTCCGACTCATATCTTCCTGAAATGCCTCTTCGAAGCATGTCAGCGCCTATTTTAGAGACTATACGCTCTGCAGATCACCGGCTATGGCTATTTCTGACATGCCTAAGCGCTGTTCTGGCCAAGGCTATTTCTCGTTCAGATAGACTCTTCCTTTACCTGGGCGGTGAAGGTGAGACGAACTGTCCACAAACCTTTCCTTTGAAAAGGAACGTGACATGCGGGCAGAAATTCTGTAAGTAGGCAACATATCAGCTGAACTGCAATCATACGAAACTGCTTTAGATCAAGACCTGAACAGACCTGGTCAGGCTGGGTGAACCCGCGACTATTGTATCAGTAGTGGAGAGGTACAGGTCCTTACAGGTCTGAGTCGACTGCATGTCGGATTTGCGTGCATTCACTCTCGCGTGGCACGTTATGCGCCCGGCCATAATTCTGGCATATGATGTTGAAACCGAAGTGGGATAATATTAGGCTTGATCCTGCGCCTCTTAAAAAAGACTTAGTAGACGAGCAACTGTCTTTAATGGAGGCTTGTACCCGTTTAGTATCAGCGTCGCAGAAGTCCCCCCCAGGCTCTCGCGCGTGCTCAAAAAGGCAGGATTCTCCGCCCAAAACGGCAGGTGCACATGGTTGGCATCTGCCGGACCTCGGCACGTATATAGTCTCGACCTCTTCAACGCTTCCTCTACCCTACACCGAGGGTTATACTGCCTATAACGTACGCGCTGAATGCGCAAGAGCGCATAGAACCTCATGTACACAATTTTTTTAAAGTGGGGGGGGGGGTCGAGGCACTAAATGTGGCCCAGTAGAAGCCTTACTGGGATCAAAAATCACGCTGAGAGAACTGTAGCTTTTCAGACTGTCTCCTACTGTCAATGGGGAGTCCCAAAGCTCAGTAGCTCCTCCTGGTACATTATTCACAGGATAAA